GATTTCTCGCTTTCTGTCTTTCTGTCTCTCTCTGCCTTTCTGGCGAGCACATGCGCCCTATAGCAAAAACCTCTCCAAAAAAAGAAAAAGAAAGAAAGGAAGTTAGCTTCTCTTTCCCCTTTCTCTGTTATTTTCCCATTCTCTGTGTTTCCTTATTCAGTTATCTCCAGTTTTTTCGTTCATTATGAATATTCTGACCACGGCCATTTTACGCAAAAACCCTCATCATTTGAATTATTGCCTCAGGTTCAACTTCTAGAAGTGAAATTGAAACTTAGGAAGGTGAGGCCAGCCCTGGAAGCACAGTGGTCAAACCCGATCCACACGGCCCCCCTAAGTCCAAGTCCCAGTTCTCTGGTAGGAAGACAAACATGCTGGGGACGGGAGGGTTGGAGGTAGGACAGTCGTGTGACCAGGTTTGTTGGGCGTGCTCTCTCTCTCTCTTTTCCCTCTGTGTGTGTATGCCTTCTGGCATACAGAATTAAAAATAAAAAATAGGAAGACTTGAGCACATTTAGTGCCAAATTATTTTTGAGGAAAACTGGAAGAATTTAAAATCCAGTTGACAATTTATGAGTGTTCCTTTTTCTTTTTTAACTTGCCAGAGGGTGTGTGTGCTCACCAGAGAAGGTGAGAAGACGGGAGATGGCCGTGCCTCAAAGCCTTCTCCTCACCTCGGCCTCCTTTCAGAATTCTGGGCGTGTGCACATGCATACTCATGGTGTGTTTTTCAAGCTGCCGGGTCCGGGACTCAAACCATGCAGTTGGCTAGGTGGAATCCAGCCACCTTAACCTCCACACACACCATCAACTGGCTCAAAGTGTTCATTTTAATACATTTTCATGATTGTTTGGCATTTTCAAGTTTTAAAAATTGTTCATAGTTTTATACATGAAATTGTACTTGACTACTGTCCATATGATTGTTTATAATTGTATATTATTATCGCTTCATTTTTCTGTGGTTGTCGGCAAAGCAAGGCATTTTCCAAACATTTATTAGTCACTTGCATGTTGTAATTTGCATATATTTGATCATGCATTGTCCATTTTATTGATGTTTTAGGTTTTTCTATCGATGTGTCTGAGTTATTTAAATATTATTGGTATTTCCATTTTGCATACTTGTTGGAAATGCTTTTTTAAAATTAGACGTGTGATTTTTACTTCTAATGTTGTATGCTTAGACACAAGTTGTATTAAATGTGGTGGATTCAGGCACACCAAGGTCTGTCTGTGAGATGAACACTAGTTCACTAGTGAGCTTAAAAAACCCTGTGACGTGTATGGATTTGAGAAATAGATGCGTCTGTTAGCACTTAGATATTTAAAAAAATATATATGTATTTAATTTTATATATCATTATTATTCAATTGGACCAGAAAGAGACAGAGAGGGAGGGAGAGCAAGAAAGCAAGCCGCCGTATCTGAAACTCGAACCACCGTCAGCCACGTGAGGTTCAGCCCCTTCACCACCACACCGCCGGGCAGCCCCAGCACTTAGATTTTTTAAAAACAGCGTATTCTTCTGTAACCTAGCCGAAATGTATTGCACACTGTGTTGTGAAGTCTGGCCCGAGGTGCTCCTTGACAAGTCATCAGCAAACAGGTCCACCCTGTGATGAATGAGGGTGTGATCCTGCCTGCTTTGATCCCTCTTCCTCAGAGGCTCACTGTCTCTGCGCGAAGCCAGCCTGTGAGTGCTCCCGCAGACCTCTGCAGACCACGGGGACATGCGTGCTCAGGCTGCACCAGTTTTATCACTGTACCTTTATGACAGGTTTTCACTGAAAGAAGAGCCGTCCCTGATAGGGCGAGCTGGCCAGCACACTCCACA